GCATAATCGAACAATATTGCTTTCACTCAGATGGTCATCAGTCTTTACTGTAACATCTATGAATGTTCACATATTCAGTGAGCATACAATAAAGAAAAGTAAATCATTTCGAGTAATCTATCGTAAACCTTAGTCATTTCCCAATGGAGTGCGACCCCGTCCTCTGTATATAGCAGAAACTATATAGATCCGAACCTATAGACTTAGTTTCGGTTCAGAATAAATTCCTTACGCCCCTGTTTCTTTGTTGGTTCAATAAGACTTAATAAACGATTTTATTAGTGTTTTCACATTCCATATTCATTTGTCATTTTCCAGGTATTGAATTTTCCGGGTAACTATTTTTGAATATGATACGTATTGCGATAAAAGCTTTAATTGGAATTGAAGAGGGAGGTTGATTATGAATACAGTGGTCTTGAGTGCTGTTAGAGTTATGAGGGCGGTTATCACTTCCCGGTTGCCCACACCGTGGAAGGGTTCTTCTGGAGGTACCTAAAAGGGAAATTGGATTAGAGGTGCTCATAGTTACTTAAGAACGTGACTGCAGTGCCCAAGGGACAGCTTCTTTAGATCGGTCACACACGACCTTTTTATGAGTAGTTTTTGTGTTAGCTCCGTACTTGTTGAGACCTTACCTCCGGAGATGGGTATCCGTGGGATAAGGCGAGGTGTGCATTTTTAGGGTCGACCTTTTCTAACCCCACCCCTCCTTGTGGGAAGGCAGCATCGCTGTCATGCTGGTTGTCTGAAGGAAACACGTTACTGCTGTCATACTACTAGTCGAGTCAGAGCTTATGGCGAACTGTCATCCGCTTTTGCAACCTCAAGTGGTGTCCGTCAAGGCTGCCCACTTTCTCCATTTTTGTTTAACTTTATCATAGACCTCCTGATGGAAATAACGCTCTTATCGACTGAATTCTCGGGTATTGATCTCCTACCAGGAGGTCCACTTATTGACTTAGAATACGCAGATGACAGTCCTGTTTGGTGGAAACGCTGATGAAATGCAGAGTCTTTTGGTAGCACTGAACAACAATGCCGGAATGTTTGAGATGCGCTTCTCTCCCTCTAAATGCTGGTTGTTGCTTCAGGACTGGTCTGCGTCAACACCTGAACTAAGGATAGGAAGTGAAGTAATGGAACGCGTTGACAACTTCACTTATCTTGGAAGTCTGATCAGCCCTAATGGGTTGGTGTCTGACGAAATCTCAGCACGGATTCGAAAAGTTCGTTTGGCCTTTGCCAACTTACATCATCTATGGCGAAGGCGAGATATCCGTCTATCAATTAATGGACGAGTATACTGCGCGGCAGTTCGTTCCGTTCTACTATACGGATGCGAAACATGGCCTTTAAGAGTAGAAGATACTCGTAAGTTACTAGTATTTGACAACAGGTGCCTTAGAAATATTGCGGATATGTGCTGGGATCACCGGTTAAGCAATAGTGAGGTTAGACGCAGGGTATTAGGGAATGATGGTAAATCAGTTGATGAGGTTGTGAATCTTCATCAACTGAGATGGTTGAGTAATGTGTCGCGAATGCCTGAACATCGAATACCACGACGCAAAATGCTGACTAGTGTTTGAGATGGTTGGTTGGGGTCCGCGTGACTATCATAACCAATGGTTGGAGACTCTGTGTGACATGGCTCAGAATCGTTCACAATAGCGTAGGTGTATACACTCTCTGTCTTCACTTAAACTATGGGATTAAAACCGTTTCATATCTTTCTACGTACTAATTCTTTCTTCCTGTACTATATCCTTATACACAATCTTTCTTTTATATATTATCACCACTGAATTAATTACTATGAATCCGGTGTTCATCTTGCTGTGCTAATGAGGTATGGCAAGTTGGACCAATGCATATATGTGCCTGGTCGTACGTTGCAGCTGACTGACAGACTGAAAAGCTTTAATGAGAATTTGTTCACGATACGATAAATGAGGTTGTGTTGTAATAACTCCACATTATTAAGATAAGATAGGAAAATACATAATGGAAAACGAAAGTGCCTCTCAAAACCACCACTAACAGATTTTATCATTGTTTGATAGGAAATGCTTAAGTTCGAGCAGATTCTATACACGCTAGGAGAAAAGTGACTCGAAAATCTCCAGGTCCTCCTAACGTTTTCCTAGACTTCCCTCGATTTCACAGTTGTAACATTGAGTCTGAGGTGATATGAAGTAAATAAAATTGCTGAAATATCTTGCGTTATTTTCCTTAAAAGTTTTGGGAGTTCTTCATCTCTGTAAATCAGTCATTTTCACGTTTTTTTCATCAAACCGGAAACTTGTGTTAGCGTTTTGAAGAACATTTGGGATGGTGGGTTAAACTATCTGCTTCTAGTTTCAATTTCCAGATGATCTCAATCTGAGGCTTCTGTTCTTAGAACAATGCATAATCGAACAATATTGCTTTCACTCAGATGGTCATCAGTCTTTACTGTAACATCTATGAATGTTCACATATTCAGTGAGCATACAATAAAGAAAAGTAAATCATTTCGAGTAATCTATCGTAAACCTTAGTCATTTCCCAATGGAGTGCGACCCCGTCCTCTGTATATAGCAGAAACTATATAGATCCGAACCTATAGACTTAGTTTCGGTTCAGAATAAATTCCTTACGCCCCTGTTTCTTTGTTGGTTCAATAAGACTTAATAAACGATTTTATTAGTGTTTTCACATTCCATATTCATTTGTCATTTTCCAGCCTTTTCCGTTCATATTCTTCAGTAAAGTCTTATGATGATCTATCTGATTGAAAACAATATTATTGGCTTATTTTATTGTTGGTTATCGTCGGTTGTTTTTCTTACTAATTGTAAGTAGATTTTGTGAGCTTGCTAGATCGTTAACTCACATTTTCTCTTGATCGTCTCTTTACCAGCTCTTCCCACTCACGCTATTCTGCGCGCTCTCTCAGTATACAAAGTACCTTCTAGCCAGACGCGAGCGGCTATTAATGGTAAGAAAACAGCGCAACAAACGTAACATTCTTTTTACGTTTCGGAAGAACTATTGATAATATTACTTGAAATATTTTCTGATATATGTATATATGTTATTTGCCACGTTTCAAAATAATGGTTCACATTAGTTTATACATAAATAAATTTGATTCTATGTTGAATAAAACATATTTATCACATCTGTTGGTTTACTGCATTTGTAACTGAACATCTATTTCCCAGTTTTTGGCTTAAGTAGATGTTCTTTTAGTTCTGTTTCGCGATTCTATCGATGTTGTTTCTGTAGTACTTTTTTTTGCTCCGCGATTGTTCTTAGATTTATAAGTACCATAGACATGATCTTTTGCATACTTTTTCTTTGTTTTAGCTTTAATTTTAAAGTCATCTTTAATATATGAACTAGAATATCTATCCGAACTTCCAGTTGTCGATATACTGTCGGAATACTTTCGACTACGTTTACCATATTTTTTGAACTTATCACCATACTGCAATGTAGATGCTTCTGAATCGATATCACCGAAAATTGAATAACCACGAGAGAAGAAAAGATCTTCATAGCGTTTACCACCTGCTTTGTTTGATTGTCTCTTCTTATAATAATTGCCATCGCTTTCAAACAAGTTCAAATCGTTTCTATTATTTCTGGACGAACTATCTTCTCCGCTAGTATTGTGAGTTGCATTCATCACTTCTCCCTTTACTTGCTCAAACATGTACTCAATTGATCGACCTATAAAGGATTGATTATTTTCTAGTGTTATTAAATTAAATGTTACATAACTGATTAGTAGTAGTAAAGAAAGATTAATAATCCTTTCTTCCATCACAATGAAAACTAGGAGAAATAAACCACTCTTATATGCATTTGGCTAACTTGATCAAATATACGTATTCATATGAATTTGTTCTTCATATGACACAGTAAGTACATTTTAAGGAAATAATGATTATTTCAACATATATTACATGATCACTAGAAATCCTATGCTATTCAATAACTAAAGTACAGTTATCAATTGATTGTCCCCTGAGTTTTGTAGTTTAAACTATTGAACGTCAACCATTGGTAATCATTTTGTTAACATTGATACTCTCCCTTAGCCATGATCGCACTGCGAAATCTCACAGTGAATTTATTCTCATATAATACTTGATGTGGAGCAGCTAAAGTGGAAATCTACAGTTTAATTTATTGGTCAGTAAGACAGAATGTTTCTTACTCCAGATTGTGATTGATCACTCTCCATAGTGAAAACATGTATTACTTGGTCACCAGAAATCCTGTGCTATTCAATAACTGGAGTACATTTGTCAACTGATTGTCGTCCGAGTTTTATAGATTAAACGATTGACCACCAACCATTGGTATAAATTTGGTGATCATTTATATATAGTGATATTTTTAATTAAATACTCTCATTCACTCTCTTAGACTGTGTTTTTGTGATCTTCTGCGGTTCAATTAGTTACAAAGTTCTAATGGTAGAGAGGGGATAGGTAGTAGTTATATTTTCTGTTGATTAATATATTATAAATTGAAACCTGTTTCCATTATCTTATCGTTCCCGATCTGCAACAACAATATATATACATTATTTTTATTTACAGATTCACTTCACAATAATTATCTGGTAGATTTAAATAATCAGACTTCAGTTGTTGTCATATTGAACCATTCTCATACTGAATGGATATAAATAACAGAAATCATCAGAACACAGTCAACTTTTACAACGAATGATTATCATACTCAACTGATTAATAATATGACGCTTTAATGAGAATCATGAATCAAGCCGAAATATTGCCATATTCATTGTATTCCTGTAATGGATCTACATGAAAACAGGTGTAATTGTTCATAGCTTCGTCTCGATTTATTTTGACTTCTGAATATATGGCACTATGAGAGCGATTTCCTATCTCTGAATCCATTTCGTTTTTAGATGTAATTTTATTTGACATAATGTTATACCTTTCATTTCTCTTGATCCGAGTTCTAACTTTAAACTATCTATTTGTCTTGTTTGATGACAGGCTGTTACCACGTGTGCTTTCAGTTAAAATATATTGATTTTTCTGTTTTGTTTTACTATAATACAACTTTGTTCTATTTATTTGATAAGATGAAGTCTTAATATCTGTGTAATACATGGTTGTTTTGAAATCCACGGAATCAGGCAACACATAATTTTCCTGATCACCAACGACTATAATAATAATAATAATTATTATTATTTTACTCTTAAAGAGTAATTTCTGTATTTTGTTGTTCTTTAAATATATGCGCTTTACATTTTCCATTTCTTCACAACTTCATTGCTATTGTGTGGCTCATATGTATATGGTGCCCGATTGTAACAATATTTATTTGTTCAAATAATTGAATAGAACGATCGTTCTGCATAATCGAGTAAGTGAGACAAGATGGATTATATCATAGAACACTAAAACAGGGAGAAAATCGTACGCTTTACCTCCCATGTATTTATGTCCTGATAATCGTGGTGGTAAAGTAACTCCTTGTCCCCGATCATGATCAGTTGAATTCTTTCCATTTGAATTGAATGTTAAGTAGATAGAAGGACCATTGCCACCGGATAGACCACTCAATGTTCCGTTTCTTCGTCCAGATAAAATTGGTGGAACTTTACTGTGCTGTCCATATTTTTTGTGACGTGAATTCGGTCCACTTGCATTTACAGTTATGTGGATTTGTTGACCATTGTCACCGGATAGACCACTCAATGTTCCGTTTCTTCGTCCAGATAAAATTGGTGGAACTTTACCGTGCTGTCCATATTTTTTGTGACGTGAATTCGGTCCACTTGCATTTACAGTTATGTGGATTTGTTGACCATTGTCACCGGATAGACCACTCAATGTTCCGTTTCTTCGTCCAGATAAAATTGGTGGAACTTTACCGTGCTGTCCATATTTTTTGTGTTGTGAATTTAGTCCATTTGCATTTACAGTTATGTGAATACTTGGACCATTTCCACGGGAGAGGCCACTCGATGATCCATATCTTCGTCCAAAAAATCGTCTTGGAAAGTACTGATATGGATATGAACTCGATCCACCTTCATTCACAGTTATGTAGATACAATGACCATTGTCGCCGGATGGACCATTCGGTGATCCATATCCTCGTCTATATAATGGTGGTGGAAAATATGGACGGGAAATGGATCCGCCTGCATTCACAGTTATGTAGATACATTGATCACTTTCACCGGAGAGACCACTCAGTGACCCAAATCTTCGTCCGAATAATCCAGGATGAATATTACCGTACTGTCCATAAAAATGGTGATGTGCACCCGATCCACTTGCATTGACAGTTATGTGGATTTGTGGACCATTGTCACCAGAGAGACCACTCAGTGTTCCGTTTCTTCGTCCAGATAATTTTGGTGGAAAATGTGGATACTGATGTGGACCCGATCCACTTGCATTGACAGTTATGTGGATTTGTGGACCATTGTCACCAGAGAGACCACTCAGTGTTCCGTTTCTTCGTCCAGATAATTTTGGTGGAAAATGTGGATACTGATGTGGACCCGGTCCACTTGCATTGACAATTATGTGGATTTGTGGACCATTGTCACCAGAGAGACCACTCAGTGTTCCGTTTCTTCGTCCAGATAATTTTGGTGGAAAATGTGGATACTGATGTGGACCCGGTCCACTTGCATTGACAATTATGTGGATTTGTGGACCATTGTCGCCAGAGAGACCATTCAACGTTCTGTTTCTTTGACCAGACAATGGTGGTGGTAATCGTGGATACTGATGTGGACCATTGTCACCAGAGAGACCACTCAGTGTTCCGTTTCTTCGTCCAGACAATGGTGGTGGTAATCGTGGATACTGATGTGGACCCGGTCCACTTGCATTGACAATTATGTGGATTTGTGGACCATTGTCACCAGAGAGACCATTCAACGTTCTGTTTCTTTGACCAGACAATGGTGGTGGTAATCGTGGATACTGATGTGGACCATTGTCACCAGAGAGACCACTCAGTGTTCCGTTTCTTCGTCCAGACAATGGTGGTGGTAATCGTGGATACTGATGTGGACCCGGTCCACTTGCATTGACAATTATGTGGATTTGTGGACCATTGTCGCCAGAGAGACCATTCAATGTTCTGTTTCTTTGACCAGACAATGGTGGTGGTAATCGTGGATACTGATGTGGACCATTGTCACCAGAGAGACCACTCAGTGTTCCGTTTCTTCGTCCAGACAATGGTGGTGGTAATCGTGGATACTGATGTGGACCCGGTCCACTTGCATTGACAATTATGTGGATTTGTGGACCATTGTCACCAGAGAGACCATTCAACGTTCTGTTTCTTTGACCAGACAATGGTGGTGGTAATCGTGGATACTGATGTGGACCCGGTCCACTTGCATTGACAATTATGTGGATTTGTGGACCATTGTCGCCAGAGAGACCATTCAACGTTCTGTTTCTTTGACCAGACAATGGTGGTGGGAAATTACCACGTCCTTTTAGTTGTCCACCTGTGTTCTTTTCGTTTGCTTTCACGTTTTTGTTGATTCTTCCTATGATTAAAATTGCAGTGACTAATATGTGAAATGAGTATTCGTTTAGTTTCATTTTTGTTTACTCTTTTTTTCTCTTTTCGAATTTTGTCACTATTTATTTGTAACATTTTTTCCAAGTAACTTCATTTTGTGCATGTTCAATTAGTATTTGGTTATATTTTTCGTATATTTTAGTCATTTTTATTTGCACTTGTTGGTTGAATTACATAATACTGCTTGACTTTTGATTTCGAATAAAAGATGCACTTATAATATTTTCGAAGTTTCCAATTGATTTCGCTTTCACTCAATTCGAACTTTTCTATAATTTGGTTGTACCTTTGAATTTATACTCTTCCTGTTTATATTTCATTGTTACGCCCGGTCCTGTTCGCGGGTAAAGTGGAACGATTGGGCATTCAGTCAGCAATCTCATTGTGTAGAAAGCAATTTTGTTAAATAAATGCTGACTAAACAAATAAACCATTTAAACTGTCTTTCCAAGTTGAAGGAACTATTATGACACCTCATTATGAAGGCGGAAACTCTTCGGAAGTCACCAGGCCGATGCCCTTTCTAACAGCCAAAGCAGCAATTAATGTAGGTTCACGGAATGACTGGACAGTGTATAAAATCGGGAAGATGAACCAAATAGTTGCAGACATGAGGAGATACAACTTGACGGTGTTAGGAATAAGTGAAATCCATTGGACCAATGCTGAATAGAATAAGATAGTTTCGAGAGAGATGCTGTTGCAAAAATACACGCAAGACCTAGCAACGACAGTGAAAAAAAGCTATAAGAAGGAAATATGAAACAGCCAGATGGCACAACGAAGAAACTGGCAGGACAATATTGTAAAGCGGAACGACGGTTCAAGGACAAATGAGACAAGTTAATATTTGAGATTCGAGAACACTGGTGGAACACTGTAAGGAACTCTTTAGTGGGTTAGCTTCACTGAATCCACCGGACATCGAAGCAGCATACACACCTCTTCCTATAGATGTCATTATACTAACGATCGAAGAAATCAAGATGACCATCAGACGAATCAAGATTGGGCATGCACCAAAACCCGACAATACACCAGCTGAAGCACTAGAGTCAGAGATAGAAGTAACTGGAAACACGCTCCATGTTCTTTTCAGGAGGATTTTGGAGGAAGGCCAAATGCCGACAGACTAGAAAGAACGATACCTTTTCGAAATTTTGAAAATAAAGATCTGAGAAAATGTGAGAACTACCGATGCATCACGCTATGATAGGTAGCGTGATTGAAGAACATTACGGGAAATTATTCGACACTATGATGTACCTGAGAAGATCGTCAACATCATACGAAATTCATATAACGGACTACAGTGCAAAGTCATGCATGGAGGACAGCTGACAGACGCATTCCAAGTGAGGACCGGAGTCATACAAGGCTGCATACTCTTTCAATTTCTCTTTATTGTAGTGGTTGACTGGATTATGAAGACCTCCACATCTGAGGGGAAGCATAGAATACAATGAACAGGTTGGATGCAACCAGACGGTTTGAGCTTCGTGGATGACCTGACCCTTCTATCCGATACATATCAACAAACGCAGATAAAGACAATTTGTAGCAGCAGCCTCTGCACCAGTAGGCCTCAACATACACAAGGGAGAAAGCAAGATCCTCAAATACAACACGGAGAACACCAACCTAACCATACTTGAAGAAACTCTGGAAGAGTTGGAATCTTTCACGTACCTGGGAAGCATAATTGATGAAGGTGGAAGATCTGATGGAGACGTAAATGCAAGCATTGTAAGAGAAAAGACAGCATTCCTACAGACGAAGAACATACAGAACTGAAAACAACTATCAACCAATATCAAAGTCACAGTTTTCAACACGAACATCAAGATAGTTAGTTATATCGTAACGGGCTGTAACTTGGAGAATTACCACAACCATCATCAAAAGGGTGCAAGAATTTATAAACAATTGTCAACGCAAGATACTGAATTTCCGTTGGCGGGATACCATCAGCAACAGTCCATTGTGGGAGAGAGCAGACCAACTTCCAGCTGAAGAGGAAATTAAGGAAACACGTTGGAAGTGGATAGGACACAGGTTGAGGAAATCATCGTACTACATCATGAGGCAAGCGCTAACTTGAAATACTGAAAGAAAAGTGGAAAAAAGAAGATTAAGGAATACATTGCACCGGGAATTGGATGCAGACATGAAAGGGATGAATAGCAACTGGAAAAGATTGTGCAGGACAGAGTTGGATGGAGAATGCAGGTGGGCGACCTATGTTCTTGCATGAGGAGTAACTGGCGTTGGTATGCAATTAAGCATCTTTGAATCGATTGTTTACTGTGAAATATTGATTTTTATATCAACTTCACAGTTGGAATGAACCAACAAAACTTAAATTATTTCCAGCTAATTGCACGCATTAACAAGTAACATCTTGGTATTAAAGTCTAGCTCAATTTGTATTGATAGGCGATTTATAGGTCCATATTGATTGTCCAAATTTAACAATTTTCAAAATGAAATGCTGTTTAGTTTAATAGAAAAGATAACTGATGATATCGGATCAATGGAAAGAAAGTTTGCATCACCTAGTGTTGTTTATGACTCCTAAATTAATTTACGACATAGATGGTTGAAAATTGAATGATTGTAATGTGACGCACTATTTATCTTTTTCTTTACATTAGCTTTTGAATGAGTTTATCAGATTGATAGTTATAATAATGGCTTAACTGAAGTTTATGAATATGTAGTGGCTTTGCTTCGTTAATCAATCACCCTTGTAACCGTTATTATATAAATCTCAATAGTGTTTGGAATCAGAGGGCAATAAGAAGTGGCAACTACAGTTTGTTAGTGGATAGCTCGAATTACAAAGTTACAAGCATATCAAGTGAATTCAAAGCAAATACAGAGGCAAATTTATAGTCAAATCGAATAAGGCGTGACTAGGCACAAGGCAGAGACTAATGATAGGATTCGAGTACATGTGTACATGGGAAAGAGAATGCTTCATCTAGCGAAATTTGAGTCATCAATATTTTAGCTTGAGTCTATCATGTGATAACGCGTAGACGTATATGCAGATATGATAATGATCATAATAGTACAAACAAATATGCGAATTGTTACTGTTGGAATAACAGCGTTTGTTAAGTAAATTAATAAAAGGACTTAACCAAAATTAACCACAATCGAAATTGATTGTAGGAGAATTGCTATAAATATTGAGTTACTGGTTTTGTTGTATGTAGATATAATAATCATGTCTTCACCGTTTATCGTGAATATGAATAAATATATGGTGATTTTATTTAATTATTACAGTCACACCCAGTAAAAGAAAAGTAAGGAAATAGAGTGAGATCTCCGTGTTTGACGCCAAATCGGATTGCAGGGAGGAAAAGATTTGAGGAATTAAAATTCGAAAGCATGTTAAAACAGACCTCACTCACAGGTCAGTCATTTTCCATAAGTTCAGAGAATCGTGACCTCAACCACATTAAGTCTTTAATAATCAAGCTACTCTGAGAAACAGTTGCAAGAGTTAGCATCTGTAATCTTCATAGATTTGGAGAAAAAGTGTGTTCTGAAAGTACTCAGAAAAGCCTCCTTTTAAAGGTTACCTGTCTTTTGTCTGAATAAAGAAACCTGTTGTTGGGAAACTCACGTAAACCAATCGAGTCTGGAATGCACGTCCGTGGTGATCTCAGCCTAGTTGACCGTATTAAGAAACGAGCTGCAGAAGTATAAATAAATGAGTGTCGCCGAAATGGTGAAAAGACCTCGTACTTAAGGGTTCTCAAATTGTGAAAATTCGGAGCAAAACGATTAGCAGGATAAGTTAAGAGTAAGAACAGATTGTTTTTGAACATGTTTCAGTTTTCGTATAGCCAAAGTTTCAATTTACCTGAACTAGTGGATATAGCTCACTAGTTTCGTCTAAATGGACAAAGCAGATAGTATATTAACTTCTCAGCACTAAAAGAATTCCGAAATAATGCAGATACTATTATGGTTAAACCTAATAAAAGATCAGGTGTTGTTATTATGAATAAGTCCGATTAGAAATATAAAAGTGGAATCCGTTCTCGGTGATGAAAGCAAATTTACGGCTTATGTATTGCCTGTGATGGATTACAGAAATTAGAAAGGAAAGTCGACTCGAGTCTAATGAATTTGCTTAACATGAGTGCTAGTAATAAAGAGGAATTTAATTTATTAATACTTATAGGTTCTAAGTATCTTAATTAATATGGACTATCAAAAATTCATAAGCTCAATACGCCGTTACTTCCAATTCTATCAATGTGTCGGTCACCTACACATAATCTTGGATTCAACTCTATCCGAAATCAGTTTTGTAAGTATTCTTTGAAAGACTCATTTGGATTAATTATGTACTTAATGGATATTAATATAAAAACTAAGACAATGTACTCCTTTGATGTAAACACTATCTACAAATGTACCTCTTTAGGAGACTATTAATATGTTGTGTCACTTTACCCCATTAAATAACCTTCCATTGGCATTTTCTGTAAAAGCTCTTAAAGATTTATCATCATTACGTAATGAAAATGTGAAATTCACTCTTAAGGGTGAGCATTTTTGACGGTGTAGCTATGAGTAGCCCTTTAGGACCATTTTTGGTCGATGTGTTTATGGGATATGTGGGAAATCTAGCTGAAAACTCAATTTAAAAGATGCTTCTGTATAAGCTGCACGTGGATGATGTCAGAATCATAAGTAGAAACGTGAAGATGTAAACCGCTTGTTAAAAGAACTCAACACAAGTCAAATGCATATTTCTCTTAGATGTGAAGAAGAGATGAATAACCAGCTTCCTTTTCTAGACATACTGATTAGTAGGAGAGTATATGGTCCCATAGAACGTTCTGCGTATAGAAAAACGACATGGACATCACAATATCTTAATATCCACAGTCACTATCCGATCCATTACAAACATGTATTAATAAAGGGTTTATTCGATAGGATCAATCATATTTGTACTAGCAATACTAATGAAGGAGACACAAAGCCCTTAACT